CCTGACCACCAGGCTGTGACAGTATCCAGAGACAGCCGTGCTTAAGACCATAGTCCACAGGGCCTGGAGGGCAGGATAGGAAATGGAGAGAAGTTGGTGTTGTCCTCTTTAACTTCACCACTTGATGATATGAGTAGTCGCATTGATGACCTGGAGAAAAACATCGCCGACCTCATGACACAGGCTGGCGTGGAAGAGCTGGAAGGTGAAAACAAGATACCTGCCACACAGAAGAGTTGAAGGTGAGGGAGTGGGCAGTAGCATTTTAAAAAGCAATACAGAGATTACCCAGAGATAATTTTGATGTATTAATAGGTAGACTTTCTCTAGATGGGGACCCAGCCATGAACCCAGCAAGCATCCCCTTTATTTCCCCCGGTGGACTTCATGTTTTGAAATTTCTCATGCCAAACTCTTTCATTCTGTAGAACTTATTTTCCCAGGCTTTATTTCCCAGACCTACATCACTGCTAGACAAGGTCCTCGGCTAGCATTATATAGACACAGAGTTCAGATGATTCCAACCAGTGACAGATATGTTTGTGTTGACCTGAAAAGCCCATCACTGGAAGATTTTTTCATCTTTGGGGGGGGGGGGTTGGGGGGGCAGATAACACAAGCCACCCACATTACTGCCACCTTAAATTTTAGGGACTATTTTGGAAATTTACAGTGTAGATGAACTAGGTTGTGAGACACAGTGACCCTTTACTCTAGAATTCATTTAAATTTCCACCAAGTACTTTCAGGTATCACAGGAAAGACTAATAATGAAAAACACCCATATAAGGTAGGTACACAGTACTCAGTGCAGTGGATTTCTTCTCTGTAAGCCTTTCCTTTCTTGTGTGCATGCAGTCGTGACCTCTCCAACTCAAGAGCAATTTTTTTTTAGTTTTCTCCCATCCCGTTTGTCCCATTTTAATTCCCTATAAAAGTAAAGTTTACTAAGAATTTTTAGTAGCTGTTCAGTAGAATGCCAAGCAGAATATACAGAAAAAGGTACTTAGTTACGGGACCAGCAGTTAGTGTAATGGCTATGTCACTGGACTCCCATATAGTCGACCACGGTTTGAGTCCCGGACCCGGTGGCTTAAACTCACACCGGGCGCGTGTGCGTGCGTGCCCAAGGTCCCGAGACGAGAATGGAGGAGAAGGGATTGCGGCGTGGCCATACCCCCGGAGGGTGATTTCTCGCTTTCTGTCTCTCTGTCTCTGTCTTTCTAGTGAGCACATGCACCCTATAGCAAAAACCTCTCCCAAAAAAGAAAGAAAAGATACTTAATTCCTTTCTTTATTCGTGGGTATGTCCAGGACCATATTGTGAGCAGCAGTGAAATAGAGGTTGCTTCAAAATCCCAGAGAATAGAGATTTGAGAGGTTAAGACACTTAGATTTGTTTGTATCTCAGCTATTAGATTGGGCTGATTCACTGCGTGAGTAATCATAGAACTACTTTTATGGGTTATGGCATCTTTATTTAGAGATCATTTGGAAAATGTCCTGCCAAGCTTAGAAGCTTTCGTGAGTCTCTTATATTATGTAGCAGTCAGAAATCCCAAGTGAGCAAGAACATCTATAAACTTGCAGGAAAACTGTACTGTGACAGGGATAATATCAAAAAAAAAAAAAAGTATTAGTATGAAATGTTATTTAAAATTTCCAAGTAAATCTGTTTTATTATGAAATAATGTGCAAAGAAGATAAGTTTAATTCAGTAGAGGATTCTGAAAGGATTTTTAGTTGGTAATTCAGTGGATCGCTTTTATTTGTCTTCATAAAGTGAAAAGCATGTTGATAGTTTTTTCTTCTTCAACAGGTTGCTAATAATTAACACCAAAATCTGGAACACCAAGAGGAGACCAGCTGGCTTTCTGAGCTAACCACTATGTGTAGACAGGTTTTATATTATAAGTGTGCGTTCTTAACCACATACTATATAGTGAGTTTAAAGAGTGACTTCCCCCAGTGTCTTGAACATGTTATCTTCACATTTCAGGCCTTGGTCAGTTGCGCTATTAATTATTAAACGCTAAAACTTTGGCAGTTCCTGCATAAGACTGTCAAATTTTTTAGTGTTATTTTTGTGAAGTCATTTTTTTCCCTGCAATTTCTTTTGTAGTAGTTGCTGTTTGAAAAGAGTTGCTGTGTAATTGTCTTTATTAGAGAAAAGGTAACACCGTAGATTGTTTAGATCTGGTGGAGTAAGACACTTAAAGAGTTTAGGATTCTTTCATTCTCAGCAAAAGTGACTTTTGTGCTAACACCAGATAGTATCTGTCACTGCTGCATTGCCAAAACTCAGAGTTGACCTGTGACTTATCTCTGGGAGCAGAGGCTACAATCAATGAAAATGAACCACTGCCACAGTCTTCTGATGGAACTTTTCACAAACAGAAAGTAGTGTAGTGAGGCATTTCTTTGTTAAGAGTTTTGCGTGAGATTCTAATACTTCAGTGAGATTCTATTTTTTTTTAGAGGTTTTTTTTTTTGGATGGAAAATGACTTGTAATAGACCCAAATTTTTAAGAAATACTGTTTTACTTAAACTGTTTCTTACCTAAATCTTTGCACAGTAGCAGTTTTATTACTGATTATGGAAGACTTGGCCACTCAGAAGTGTAGTGTCAGGAGCACTGAGCCCAGAGGCCAGTGCTGGCCACCTGGAACGTGGGCCATGTGGTTGTCACCTCTAAGTAATTTTATACAACAAACAGTTGAAACATCAAAGAACTTGAATGATGCGATCCTTCATAGAAACTCTCAATGAAAACAGTATATTTTTTTATTTTTCTTGTTACCAGTCTTGATTATTTGTATTACAAATACATAATATTAATAATTTGTCCTATTTATAAAGTATATGGGAAACACAAGGAGAAAATTTTCATCGCTATTATTGCCCAGCAGTGGAGATGCACTGATGGAGCCAGTAGGCCATGCTGCAGGTGTAGCCCTGCGTGTCCCACACTCGTGGCCTCTGACCAGACCAGCTGGCACCATGTGCAGGGCATTTTCAAGCTTCGTAAGTGGCAAATGGAAATGATATGGCCAGTCGCTGTTGTAAGGATGATGGGGACTTAGGTAGGAGTTGGCTTCCTTAAAGGAAAGGTTGCAAAGGCAGGCTCCCCGACACCAAAACTGTCTGCCATGAATAAAGGTGCCTGAAATCCTGCTTCCTTTGTGTCAAACTTTGTTTGGTTTTCAGATTAAAATGTATATACCACATTGTTTTCAGCCGAAACCTCTGGAAGGATAAAGTAGACGTAGCCAAAGGCAGACCATGAAAGGCCGTGAGTGGAGACCATGCTGCTGGAAGGGATAGCTGAGGAGCACCGAGCCTTGGGGACAGTGAAGTTCACTGGACTAACGTTCCTGGTGTCTTCCCAAGGGTGTTCCTGCAGCTTTTGTCCCTGGAGAGGTTCCAGGAAAGAAGCATTATGCTCTCTTGAATTTTCAACACGTGAAAATTCACAATGCATATTAGCAAAGGCTCTGAAAGTCCCGGAGCAGAGAAACTGGAACTGGATTTAGCTTTTCCCGTCTGCCAGTTTGTGCGTTGACAAAGGGTCTTTTTTTCTACTTAACACCTAATTCAGGAGATGGGCGCACCACTGACCCCACAGTTCCGTTTGGGTCTCCTCTGTAGACACCCACATTGGTGAGCACGTCCTCTTCTCCGCAGTGTCCCCACTTACCAGATGTAGTCCAGAACTGAGCCCTGTTCTTCATAAATCACCTACTTTCAGGTATTCAGTTCTTAGAACACACTGGAACGAGGGCTGTATGGAGGCACCTGCAGCAAGGAAGGCCCAGAGGCCAGTCACCCTCTGACCGCTAGTGAATCTGACTTTCCTTCAAGTCACGGGATTTCAGAGTATTTTCATCCTACCTATTTTTTTATACTTTATTTCATGATCTTGTTTTTCTACTTTGGTTCCTAGTAAAGTACCATTGTTCGGCCTCCTCAGAACAGGGTTTCAACCCTCCCCCCCCCCGCCCCTTAGAACATTGTTGCTGTGAACAACTTAAGTGAACTTCACACACACACTGTTTGTAAGTTGACGCCTTCCTGTGTAGAACGTGGCTCTTATGCTGTGGCTTATACATGTTTAGCTGGATTCCAATGGGGGGTTTGCACAGTGTTGCGTCTGACTGGAAGATGCAAGAGCAGCCCTCAACAGTTACTGCACTTACTGAAACCCGACCACACTCAGGTTGCATCTGGTTAGCCCCGCTTTAAAGAGAAGGGACCCGAGGCAGAGGACCCTGGAAACCCCACGCACCCAGCCGCATGGCCCGGCCTGGCCCGCCCCGCCCAGTTGCGTGGTTTGAGTTCTCAGCTGTTGGGGATCAGCCCCGCCTCTGTGGGGATCCTGACGTTTAGCTTCAGAAAGCTCATTGTGCATCTGCAGTAACCCTAGCCAGAGGTGAGTAAACATGCTGGATGGGCACTTGGTTCCAACTGAAGGGTTCGGGGCTGGCAGGGCATGTGTGCTCCTGGACTGGCACCATGAGAACTGCAGAAGCACATCTGGTCCACTGTGCCCGGACCACAGCCGCGGGGAACACCAGCCACTGGGTTCCGCTTTCGGACACACCCAGAGTGTCCAGGAAACCACTGTGAGACCCAGCCTGGGGGAGAAACAGCCCCGTCTTGACCTGTTGTCTGACCATCAGGTCCCTTTGCCCTTTTTTTATTTAACAATGAGCAGAGAAGTCTTAAAAATGTACCCAGGCAGCCATCACCTGGAGTCTTGGTCTCTCGTTAATGTCGAGTATCGACTATTGGGTTGTCTGGGAAGTCGTGGCACATTTCTGCATAGAAAAACAAATACATGACTCCCCTGATGGCCTGATGGTTGTGGTCTCTTGAAAATTCCCTTTGAGTAAAGAAATGAGGGTGAGGGAGATGTCACTTTCTAAAAACGAGGGGAATTGTGATTGAACATTACCCTTCACCCCACAGGTCTCTAGGGACTGTGCAGGGAGTTCGTTTCTACAAGTCAGGGTGACTGCTACAGAACGAATCCCATAGCTTTGCTCCGGTACCAGGGCTCTCAGTGAGACCCTGCCCCGTGGCATTTATGCCTCAGAGGTGTGAATCATCTGCTTCCGTGTTCTCTTCTTGAGTGCCCAGTTGACCCAAGCACGTGTGCACACCCCGGGGTCCACTCCGTGCACATCCCATTGGTGCTCCCTGCTTGGGGCTGAATTGCAGCTGTGTATTTGGTTTCCTGCTGTGGGCACAGATGTTGGCCAGTAGTTCACATTGGTCTAACACTGTCCACCTTCCAAAAAGGAACAGCGTTTCCCAGTAACTAAGAATAACCTCAAATAATGGGGGCACGTCGTTTCCCTTGGCAAGGGAGGTGCTTTGTGGGAGGGGGCTCCTCTCTGGGGCAAGTGAATTCTGCACCTCTGTCCGACCACAACAATCGGAGGATTGTCCCAGCTTGGTACATGCAGAAAAGAATGTCTTTTTTCCTATTGACTCTTAAGAGTGAAGCAAGTGTTTCCTCAAAGTGTTCTTGCCCCAACTCCTGTACCTCAACGGCCGAGCCCAGAAGATCCTGTGGACAGACGAGCCCTGTGGTTCTCGCTGTTCAGTTGTTGTAACTTAGGAGTTGGGTGCTCCTGACATTTTGGGTGGAAGCTGGGGATGATCTTCACCGCCAGGATGACCCAGCTCCGGATGGCAGCAGTACTCGGGTAAGAGATCCTACAACCCAGGCCTGGCGCGAGGCTTCTGATAGGAGGTTCCTGCACCCTTAGAGGAAGACGAGACAGGAACAATGGGATTCGATCGAAAGGCCGAGGGCCTGGCTGGGGCGGATAGCCCACGGTGTAGCAGACCTCTGAGGTGGAGCTCCCGGTTACAGATAACGGCACCAGAGAGAGAAATGAGGGCAGGGCCGGTTGCGACCTTGGTTGCATATCAGAACCCCCTGGGGAGCATGTCAGAAGCCTGGGGACCAAGCAGCACGCTGGGCTCAGCTCAGTCTCCATGAGGGAGGGAGGCAGAGAGCGGCATTTGTGTCAAGCTCAAGTATGCGGTTAAGGTTGGGAACTGCGTTCTAGAAGGTCTGGTCACTGCTGATTCCCTGATGATGTAATTCGGCATGCAAATGGGTCGAATTCTGCCGCCTTTGTCACCCTCCTGACACTTGAGACTTGGACAGTAGAGCTCAGCACATGTTCATTGGCGTTCAGTTCCACTCGGGTCACTGCTGCTTCAGAAGCTTGATTGTGTCACCACTGTTAGAATTAAAGGACATCTGACTCCTGACGGGGTGACCTGTTAACCAGATCAGGCTTCAGGTTTACCTGACCTGAGTGGCTGCCTGCCCGCCCTGTGCCAGGCACATGTGGGGGCTTCCACCTGCATCGCCTCTTTAACTCTGCAGTTACACTCGAGGTTGACATCAGAAAGTTTTCCAGCTGGAATTTCCCCCTCTAGTGAGCCTCCAGAAACTGCATTCCTGTACTTTACTGTAGTTACAGTACCTCTTACCTTCCGCGGAAAGGCAAAACCCAGTTTCCAGAAAGAATTTAAATATTAAGTATCTTAAAGCTAAACGCCTGTTGTGTGGAGGAAAACCCTGTTAATCTTGATAGGCTGTGGGTAATCAGAAGAGTCCTGGATGGAGAGCTAAATAACAGTTGTTTCTTTAATGATACTTTCTACTGAAAACAAGGCCATGTGACTGCCGCTCCAGGACCTCGTTTGGACTGGCCTGAATTATTTGTAGAACAGAGCCTGGGGCTGGGCCGGTCCCCACACTGCAGAGTGGGACAAAAGTCCTAGATGGAAATCATCCTTTTCCCTTGACAGGCAGACATTGCATCAAACTCAGGTGTCCTTAATTAGAACCTGTGCTGGGGGGGAGGGGGCGTAATTAACCATCTCAAAGGGAAAGAATGTTTTGAAAGCCATCTGTTGCAGTTACACTCGAGGTTGACATCAGAAAGTTTTCCAGCTGGAATTTCCCCCTCTAGTGAGCCTCCAGAAACTGCATTCCTGTACTTTACTGTAGTTACAGTACCTCTTACCT